CTTAAATAGAAAGAGGTTTTCGAAGTTAGTTCTATAAGAGGAAAGAACTCCATTCAGATGAAAGAAGGACTAACAACAAAATGAGATCTTAACATGTTATTTGTTGAGGGCTCCTGAGGTATAATAATCACAGTTGAACAGGCAGTTTATCAACATTTTCAGTGCAAATTAAAGTGAATAGACACTGCTGAGGGTATGCTTAAATAATGTGCTAGAGTTGTTGATTATTTCATATGGATGAGAAGCTACCACTTTACTACAGAAAACTGAAAAAAAACAACCTATAAGCTAAATTCAGAAGTGAAATATGATCACTTTATTACAGAAAACTGAAAAAAAAACCCTATAAGCTAAATTCAGAAGTGAAATATGAAGCAGTGTAAGTTAACATCCATCATCTTATACCAGGTTAGATTAGGGATGTCAACCTGCAGCTGACTACACTATTAGCCGATAAGACTAGGTTTATCGGCTAATCCTGTTGACCACACACACACTTCCCTCCGCAGGGGTGGGGGGAGAGAAACAGGAGCTGGTGCCCTTGTGGAACAGCATGCCCTCCCACTCCTATCCCCATGCTGCTGCCACTGATAGAGAAGCAGCAGCCCAGAGTGAGGGGCAGGTGGAAGGCAGTACACAGGGGGAGCCATCTTTCAAGCCAGCGCCCCATGTGTATCAGCTCCCACAGAGCTCCTGCCCCTGTGCTCTATCAGAAGCAGCAATGCCGGGGTGGGAGATGTGGGAGTCACTACATGTGGCAAGCCAGTTTTTAAGCCAGCTCTCTGTGCATGCTGGCTCCCAACCCCACACTGCGTCCCATAAAGGTAGGGGGAACAGGCAGAAGCCCGTGCTTATGGGAGACATGGGAGGGTGCTGCGAAGCAGCCTTTGTGCATGGCAGGCCCGGGCTCTGCTGCCTTTAAACTGGCTCCCTTAGTGGACCAGCTCCCGCCTGCCACACCACAGTGCTGCCTCTGATACACGGGATGACAGGGGGGCTCCTCGGGAGTGGGGCTGGGAGTGAACTGCTAAAGATTGATGTGGTTACACAACTATTCAGTTACACTGTATCTAACATCCATAATTTAGATTCCCTTAGACCTAGACAGACTCTCTTATTCTCCTGTCTGATTCTTTCTTCCCTCCTGTGGCAGGGTA